CAATATGTGCTGGCTTTGGTGGCTGGTGAAAATGTGTAGATGGTGAATTCGGAAAAACGTTATCAAGCCTGGTCCCGACTCTTCTCTTGCTGCTTACAGAAAAATCCAGAAGAGGACATCTCAGGGAGGATTCTGAACTGGGAACCCGGCCACTTGCTCCTGACCCTCTGCGCCGTCCGCAGCATTGAGCAGCTCCTTCCCTTCTTCCATGTCCTGAGCCAAGTCTTCAACAGCAAAGTCACCAGCAGGAGCATCGGCCATTCAGGGAGCCCCATGCTTTACCCAAACTCTTTTCCCAACAAAGACATCAAAATGGAGAACCAAAAGACCTTATCTAGCAAAGTGAGGCAAAAAATTGAAGAGATGGTTGAGAAGGACTTTTTGGAAGGGGTCATCAAGACATGAAATGTAAATGGCAGAATCTTTTTATCTTATGTAATGTTCATTTCAAACCAAACCACTCCATCCTTCCAGAGTATGTAATTTCCTTTTTTCATACTTTGTACGTAGTGTATACTTCAGGATGTATTTAATTTAAATACTTGTAAATAGGTTCTGGATATGGCCTGAATCAAGTTGAACTATCGCTGGCACATATTGATTATTGTGCCTAATATTTATGGTACATTTTGTTTTTGTCATCTTGAGGTCTGTCTTTAAGAAATCTTACAATAAAGTTGCACATTTTTCTAGTTGTATGTCTTTCTCTGCACCTAGGCTGCTGCACGGGGTTTACTTTCTAAAAATGGAATGAATGAGTAGTTTGAACATATCAATATTCTGATGAAGGCATTAATTGTCAAGATGTTATTAAATTATCTTCCAACAATGCTGCGTTCCAGGTTCTTAAGCCAATAAGTGTGACATGGCAAACATCTTCAAACATGCACCCAAAATAGATGAGTGCTTCTACCGAATGCTGTTTCTCTGGGAGATTTTGGGATGCTACACTTCTTCATAACTTGCAGCAAATAAGTTTCTTTGCTATAACTTTCCTTTCATGGTGGGAATTGAAGTCTGCTCTTAATATGGTACATTTACTCCAACAGGCATTTTTCCAGCTGAAACTGAAAGACTTGTCATTCCCAGCCAGTCGGTCCACATTTTGCCTAGGGATTATAGGAACTTGCAATCCAACTCTAGGATTGTCATGATTGCAATTTTCTGAAAAAGCATGTTGAAGTTGAAATTTCCAAGGACAGGAAGCAGAAAACTCCTAGTGGTTTTTTGTTTTTTTTACAATAATAAATGTTGAGTATTTCTCAGCTAGTAAACGTTTTATATGACAAACTTTCATGATTCAGATCCAAGTATGACGCTTCATCAAACAGACTTGGGTGGGTCTCCAAATCCACCAGCTAAATGGTAGACAGCCAAGCAGACTTCATGAGCGAGTTTATCTGCGTTCTCCTAAAGAGAAAAATATAAGACTAAAGTCAATATAAAATAATCTCAGCTAAGGGAACGTTTAGATGTCATTCAGGTTTTTTCTGAAAGAATCTGTTTTGCTCCCTAGTTCAGAAACCACATATGGCACAGTCTCTCACAGCTCATCACTATTAAGGACTTAGGAGTCAATTTTAAGTTTGTGCTGCAGTGAAAAAAAATCTAAATAACTCATAATACTGGGAGATATCACACTATGAGGAGCAGATTTCAAAGAATCATCTTTTAACTCAAACATGAAGCTTTGAAGAGAGGCGTTACAGACCCTGTTCCCCCATCTGTTTTTATTCCATGTTTGTATTTTTTTTTTACAAAATGTACTTAAATAGGAAGTTATCCTTCATAAAAATAGATGGAGAGTATGAATAAGAACAGGTTTCTTTTTAGAAATGTCCGTATCGTGCTCCATTTCAGTTTTCTGAAATGACAGATTATTCTCATTTCTATCCGGGCTCCCAATTTTTCCATCAAAAAAGCTGCTAGAAACACAGCAGATCTTTCTTAGCCCAAAAATATTTCAGAAAACCAAGGGAAGGAAAACAAGATTTTTGAGCAAGCAACAAAACCGTCTTCATTTCTCTTTTCCCCAATAAGCTCAAGAAGAAATGGGAAGAAGTCTGGTAAAACTTCAAGAGGACTAAGTACTGTGACTTGCATACCTATAGATCAGTGATGGCGAACCTTTTTTGGCTCGCGTGCCATAAGGGGGGACCTTAGGGGGGTCGTGCACGGACGTGCCGCACCCATAATGCAACGCGACCCCGCCCCCCTGCACATGCACGCATGAGAAGCATTCCCCTCCACTTATTGCATGCTTTTTTCGCCCTCCCCAGGCTCCAGAGGATTTATAGTCAATTCCGGTTTGCTTGTAGGGTCGTTTTTAGTCCTCCGAAGGCTTCAGGGACCTTTTGGTTTGCTCGTAGGGCCGTTTTTAGTCTTCCAGAGGCTTCAGCAAAGCCTCCTGAAGCCTCCGGAGGGCTTAAACCGACCCTACGTGTAAACTGGAAGTCCGTTCCCAAACTTTCAGTTTGCCCATAAGGACGTTTTTTTGCGCTCCAGAGGCTTCAGGGAAACTCCTGAAGCCTCCGGAGGGCCTCCAGGGAAGCGGGGGAGGCTCTTTTCGCCCTCCCCAGGCTCCTATAAAGCCTCTGGAGACTGGGGAGGGCGAAAAATGGCTTTAAAAAAGGCTGAACTCTGCTGGCCAGCGCGCACATGCGCGCTGGCCAGCA